AAGACCAATGTCACTAGACATTCACAGCCACCAAGGTCGCCCTCGTACGACACCGTACGTACGACGCCAGAACGTATGGAAGTCGTACAGGAAGGAACATCTTACGCTGCCGTAGCAAAATCACCGACACAACCCGATACAGACAGACACAGCTCCCGATACAGAGGCCACAAAAAAGGGATACCCGCCGATAATAGTAGAAAACCTACCCGACTGGGCCAGCCATTTTTCGGCCCTGAAGAAATATAAAATAAACTCGGACACGCCCCCAACGCACGAGCCTTCGGGAAGGGCGTCCGGTTTTTACCCCAGTCCGGACAAGAATATCGCGTAATACAGCGACACCTAACGGCAGCCACTAACGACGATAGCAGTATCACATGGCACTGCTATGCTCCCGCGAGAGAGCTCCCCACCAAAGTGGGAGTACGGGGACTACCTGAAAATGACGGACCCGGAGAGCATCACCGACGCATTACGCAAATTGGGATGCCGGGAATCCAAATAGAGGGGTGGAAGGGAAAAACCGGCCCACCCGAATGCCACAGATGCCAGAAGTTTGGGCATTCTTCAGCGAACTGCCATAGACCGGTGGTTTGCGTGCGATGCGCGGGAAACCACATTGCGGCAGAATACCCGATCCCGCTTACCGCCCCCGCACGTTGTGCAAACTCCAGGCAGCCCCCCCCCCCCCCCCCTCAGACTTCCCCCCTCAGCCCCGCCAAGGCGTGACTGTATCGGATACCGCTTTACAAACCCCTACCGCAGTACGAACCACTGCGGGGGATATATTAAGGCGAGCTGCCCGCACATTTCATACGCCGCCGACGCCGCCTCCACTGCCGCCAACCAAGCAAGACCGACCGCAACAGTGATAACCACGCTCCAGCCACCAGCCAACCCAGCAACGACACGGGTCAGAAGTCATCGAAGAAGACGTCGCGGACGTAATGCACAAGCGGCCTCATCTCAAGACGAACGACCAGCTCGTGAAGCCACTGCCACCGCTACGGAGACGAAGACGGCGCTACCTCACCGCCCCTCCGCAACCAACAAAGACACCACTCTTCCCCTCCGGCAGGAGAAAGCCGCCGACCCCAGGTTGCGCATAGGACGGAGACAGCGACTTCCAGTCACCGTATACACCGCCCTCAGGAACGTCAATTTACCACTGAAGCCCCAAGATCCGTCGAAGAATTCGCGGCATCCCTACAACAAGTCATACGCACATTAGCGGACGCGTTAATCTCCATAATAACTGCAATGGCAGCTGGACAGTCACCCATGGGAGCATCCCTCCACACATTATCTTCACTACTCACCGCGCATTACGGTGAACAACGTTAAACAGTGTTGCGCCATTTTTATGGCGGCTAATTAGCTATAAACAACAACACCAGCCGGCCAATATGGCCCAGATTAACGGGGGCACGGAGTGGCCCCCCGCGATGAAGCTCGGGTCATGAGGTTTGTCCTCGACACCCGCACCTGCAGGCCAGGTCAAGGGAATGTAGAAGGCCCCCACGACGACACCATATAACACTACACCTACAGTTAGTGCAACAACAAACACACTAGTTCGCCTTCGCCTCTTAGCACGGCGAGACCAACACAACGCGTACACAAGGTACATCCGCGTTCCGGGGCGGTTCTCACCGCTCCCAGCCACCGATTAGCTAATTGCACAGTCGACGGCTTATCACGTGCTCCGCGGTGAAAGAAAACATCGTGAGGAAACCTGCATATTTTCGAAATAATAACAAAAAAATATATATTTCGAAGATATGTGAAGTCCGCCAACCCGCAGTTGGGCCGCGTGGTGGACTATGCCCTGATACCCTCTCTATAGAGGAGGCCTTTGCCCAGCAGTGGGACATGTATAGGCTGTTACTTTACTTTACTTTACAGTCGACGGCCATTGGGGTTTCGGTCCGAACCGCGACCTGAATGGCCCTTAGATGACACACCATAGTTAAACGAACGCATGAGCACATGCGTGGCCCTACCCACAGCGGAGGGCCCAAGCCCGTGGGTTCTGGCTAGCCCACCGGTTCTGCGTCAGATGAAGCTTTAATAGTCTCGGGACTGAAAGCAAAAACATCAGTTAATACAAGATACAATTGATAACGATATTTTCATTATAACTCGGTGAAATACCTGCCCATCCTTCATTCAACGACCTGCTTACCTCTTACACCACGCTCTGAACATTATCAACTACAAATTGTGGGAGACGGAACCCCAGCGTCGCATCTTCACTACACGGACTACATTTCCTCACGAGCACCCTAGTGGGCGCTCCCTAAACAGTTAAACACTGTGTTTCCATAATGATTATATTTAGATCTTAATTATTGTTGAGGAAAAAATTGGAACGGAATCATCGACATTTTGAAAAAGTATGAATAATTATCGAGTGAGAAATATCGATATAGAGGTACATTGTCAGTTTTCGCATGATTATTCATGCATATTTACGAACCATTCAAATTAGGTAAAAGAGAAAAGACATGAAGAAAATAATTAAAAGATTTTGTTAAATTAACGATACGAACGAGAATGCAAAAAGTATCTACTATTAGTAAACACGAAACTAGAGTTGCGTTAAAAATGTATCGAAATTGAATCGAATTAAATAGTCTGAAAAAAAAAAATCGAATAACGGGATAAAAAATATCGACGATAAATATAGATAATTCTATGAAAAAATATCGATATTTTTATATAGTCAACTAATCATATAGTATATCTTAAAATATCGATACTTCTATATATATCGATATATATTGCCCATGCCTAAAAGATATTATCCGCATTCCGCCACCGCCATCGTCTAACGTCTTGTTTATTGATTATTGATTATTCCTTTTAGAATGTTTCTATCTTTCTAATGCTATTTTGAGTACGAGAGATTGACTTGAGCAGACAGGTTTTGGACGTTACACGGTTACAACGTGCGTAAAGTAATTTCCTCGAAATTAAAATTAAACATTTCAGTTGGGTTTTTAGTGTTGGGTTTGTGGTTGTGGTTTTGTTTAGTTCGGTAAGTGTTATTGTCCTATATGTAAGCGTTTTCCAAGTACGATGTGTGATGCAGATGATGATCCTCCTCCTGGTGGAGGAGGTGACTTATCCTGTGATGTAGACATGACGGTCTCTATTATTGTGGAGTGTTCATCTAGTCGTCCTCTGAAAAAATCAGCGGATGCGGAAATCGCCAGTATCCCAAAGAAAATATAATTTGTGATTGTGATCATCTAATTGTGAGTATCGAAGTTTATAAAATTTAAAAACGCAATAAAATTTCTGTCCAATTTGAAATTTATTTTAAACCTTGAAGCCATTTATCCAGAAGTCAATGTTAAAAAATATGTGAAGTCCACCAATCCGCAGGGGGGCCGCATGGTGGACTATGCCCTGATACCCTCTATATAGAGGAGGCCTTTACTGGCCGTTACTTTAATAGGCTGTTACTCTACTTTACAATGTTATTGTTTCCATGCTTCACTTTCAGTTTCCATTTATCAACTCCCTACCATACAGTGCCATAATTGCAGTAGATTTGGACATGTTCCTGCTGAATGCAGATGTAAACCTAGGTGATGTAAGTGTGCTAGACAACACCCTGCAGACTCCTGACGGTATCTGATGCTTTGTGTCTTCTTTGGTGAGGTCAGGATGTCCTACATGTCCAGAACATTCACAACAGTAGATAGCACATAATGTCTCAAGAGAATATTAGTTATTCTGAAGCATAGTGCCGCTTCCCCATCTCCAGATTATCATTTGCTGATACTGATGCTATACACTTACTCTGCTCCTCTCCAAAAAATTCTCTCGGACCTTCCTTTGTCCAGTCTAATGTTTTCTCTCTCTCTCTAAGTTAACTGCCCTCTCCCTGCACAACAAACCTTGATCTATGAATCTTGTCCAACCCTACATAGGTCCTCCTCATATTTTAGTAATAAAAATCTTCCTTATCCTCATCCTAGATCCCCTCTAAGTCCAATGTATGATAAATGTGCACACCTAGATATTATTAGAACTTCTAAATTCTCCCAACCTAATGGTATTGCTCTTGGAAGGGTCAGGCCAAGTCCCCATGCTAGTCCTAATGATTGAGTAACTCAATCAAATTATCATTATGAGTAGCAGTAGCAGTCTAATAAACATGGTTTCAAAAATTAGTGACTCAACAATGTCTTGCCCATTTTAGAACAGCTCCTAGATAAAATCAATCAAAAACGATTATTACAGTCACATACAACTATTTATCCCTACCAAAACTTGTTTTTTTACGTACTGCTGCTATCATAAAATTACCATATCTGTTATCATCAGGTTGAGACTTGGACATGTGTGCTCCCCAGTGTTCTTGGCTACTACATATTTAAAACACATTGTGTGAATGTGGGTTAAATGGGAGTACACATAATCATTTATTTTTTACTTGTCCTTTGTTATCAGTTTCTTTAAATGATCAACTTCCATCTAAAATTGCTCGCCCTGTGAATGTTAAGTGTCTATTAACTCTTGTTTATACTCCATTCATTAAAACAAGATGAAGTTTATAGAAATTAACATATATGTCTTTAAGTTTAGGTTGTTATCCTTTTTATTCTTTTTTTTGTTGTGTGCCGTTTTTAGTTTATATATATTAGAGTCTTGTCTAATATTAATGTGCATGTTACTAATGTGGTGTCTTGTTCCTTTGTTTACAGTTACGCAACTGAAACGCAACCAAGTAATGCAAATGGTTTTATTTTTAGGCGTAAATAAGTTTGGATAGAGTGACTTTAACGGATGCAGTGTTTAGTAAACTAAAAATAATACATCATTGTTTCAATTTAATAACTTCCCAGGTAAGGACGATTTATATGGGTGACCAACATTAGGAGATTTAACCACTGTAATGTGTGTATTCTTTGACATGCTTAATTGTAAGAATATATATTATTTCTTGATTGAAATTTTCGTTTGTTTAGAGACAGTCTTAGTCCATGAGCAGTCGTGGAAATCAAAATGGCCGTCGGCCACCGCTGCCCGCCCAGCCTCCAATATGTCCTCCACCTCCACCACCTCCTCCTACAGTCCCGTGGACTGTGGCTCCTCCTTCTGCATCAGTATATACAGGTAAATAATTTCTTAATATGCAAACCAAATTAAAAGAATTACTTTCAACTTTCAGTCAAGACCTGTATATTACATGGTATTTCCATGTACATTTTTAAAATTTTTATATGATACTTTTATATGGAAATCATGTATAATATTTTATTATTTATTTTCCAGCACCTCCACCACCACCACCTCCACAAAGTACACCTATACTTTTCCCAATAAATCAACCACCTCCACCTCTGCCAGTAATGTATGTATAATTTTATTTATTTACAGAGTATAAATACAAAGAAAACATACTAAACTAAATCTGATTTAAGGTTTGATACTACTAGGCCTCCACCACCATTACCAACAACTAAAAGTGGTGCTGGGAAGCATAAATCACCAAATTTATTTGAAGGTGCGTTTAAAAATTAATGTCTAAGCGATATTTCATTTGAGTTCTTTTTCTTGACTGAAAGCGCAGCAAAAATGAGCTTTAGCGAACATTTCATAATGGTGACTTATATGATATCTTAGGTTCTTTCATGTGTATACATAAAACACTAAAAAAGTAATAATGGTAATAAATGTTTATAATTAAATATATTTATTTCCATGGTGCTTGCTCAGAGTGGACGAGTATCATGAATAATTATTCAATCTTGTAATAAGCTAGTCAAGCTACTTGAGTACTCTTATAAATAATTTTCAGTGTTTTATAATTTCATGCTTAGATTATACAGTACAATAATAATTAATACCATTGTGTAATTTGATAGCATTGGGTGAAAAATAATTAGACCCTAAAAATTATTTTGTCATGAGATTATACTTTATTCGGAGACAAATCTTGTTTATGATAAAGGTAGAATTACTAAATAAAATTTATTGTAAATATATTTAAAAAATAATGGATAAGAAAATATGAAAATATAATACATATTAGTAACTTCTATCTGGCTTGGCGCTTATTAATTTGTTCTCAGCTGGACCAAGCAAAATAAGGAAGCCAAAGGACAACAATGTAGCAGACGCGCATTGCGCAAACACTGTTGAAAACATGATCAGGTTTGGAAATATCCCAATTTGTCTATGACATTGTCTGCATGAGTTGGAAAAGTATATATTAAATAGAAAGGTACTCTACTATTATTATTAAAATATTAGTTGTGGCTTCTCAAACTTTATATACTTTTGTCACAAATCAATGTTTAAGCGAGTATTTTAATGCTGAGCGCGTTATTATTTGTAAAAAAATACATCAAGCGAATTTTTAGCTCATGATTTGCTACATAAATCTTAAATTGCTTTAGCCTAAATTATTTCCATGTAGTTGTTTAATTAATGTAAGATAAGTAACATTTTTTTGATGAACACCCCATTCAGTGCATCCTTTTATTTCAAAAATTCCTATAACATGCTGTGCGAAAAAGATATTTCACAGGTTTTTAATATGTTGAATCTGTATTAATCACTTTGAGATCTTATGTAGGATGTAACAACTAAATACTTAACCGTCGGTTTATAAAATAAATTAATTTAGACTTCAGATGGAACAAATTATTTTTACATAATTTAATAGCAAAATGTGCACAAACAGTGATTACTAATATATATATATAGTGATTGGCGTGGGGAGTAGTGAACCTGCCTCTGGGGCAGACTGTGTGCTTTCGATCCCTGAGGAAAAAATTTTGTGTGATGAACATAGCGTTTTTTCAGTATCTGGGTGTATGTTGTTATTTGTTTATGTTGTTATTTTTTTTTCAAAGATTCAATTTTAATTTTTCAAACATTATGGATACCAAATTAGAAATTCCTGCCTTACTGTCTCTTTACAATAACCTAGCCGCTGTGTTGCTGTTTGCTGTTTGATTTGTTGCTATCGCATCTGTGTCAATGTGAGTTCAATATCTGAAATTATCTCGACTTAGTGGCCTTCATTTAATTTTACTTTACGCATATACCTCCACACTGCAGACTGTAGGGTGACCACTCTTAACGTGATAAACAAAATTGTTTGAATTAATATTTTTCTATTTATTTTTTATCAAAATAAAATATTTTTTTTTAGATTATCTAATGCTCAATATACTAATGTTAAACGAAGTTCAGAAGTAAGTTAGACGAAGTACATAGTTTGACATAATTGTCAAATGTATTTCGTCTAAAAGATCACCCTGTATGTATAATATATGTATTTATTTACAAAAGAAAAGTATGTTTAAGTATCTTTTTCAGTTTTCTAATACCCATAATACAAGCGGTGCTTAGATTGGGACTTAGAGAATGTTGAGTAAAAATGTGTCTGAAAATATTTATTTATTTATTATTCACTATATACAGCGTGTCGTTACCATCGCGACAATAAATGAACACACATATAGGGGATAAGTTTTTAAAGTTGTATTAAACATTTAAATCCTTTAAACATCAATATTTACAGAGAGTTATTAAATTTTCCAAAACAAAGAATTTTAGAACACCCTTACCTATAAAAGCGTAACGTAAAGTTCATTTGTAAAGGTCACAAAGCATATGAATGGGTTGAATGAATTTAAAAGAGACAAAACATACTGTTAGAAGGAGAGGCTTGTAATACGACGCTGTATATATATATATCTTTTTTTCATTTCTTACATATATTTATAGTATAGCCTTTCATAAATATAACAACACAATATATTGAAAAGTTTTTTATTGCAGGATTCATAGGCAAGATTTGAATAAACTTCGCCGTGAAAATGAGTATGAAATTTTAATATATAAAAAGCAACTGGAAGAATATGAAACTGAAAAAGATTTTCTGAGGAAGAAAGTTGCCAATGCTGATCTATTTCGGATTTTAGAAGAGTACATTGAGGTAATTCCTACTTAAATCATAAATATCTCTATCAAATTTTTAAATTTGTTTTAAAGCCTGATGTTAAATTGTAGAATAATCTATTACAGATTTATTTAATATGATAAATCATAATTAACTGACCTAGATTAATTATAATTATCTAACCAATTAAATTGATGCCTATCAAAGTCAAAAAGTAAAATTTTTTTTGGATAGGCTCAATATTACTAAATAATTTTTATTCTATTACAGAACGGTACACAAATGCAATTACCTGATGATATTTGGCAGATGATTTGCCAATTCGTCCAAATGACCAACCGAGTAAATGATAATTCGGTAATTTTTGATTTTTTTGTTTACTTGATATTGATTGTTAAACAACTAATTACAAACTTACGAAGCTGAGAGCACCTTACATCTAAATTATTGTTTTTGGTGTTTATTTTAGGGATGATAATGCTGGAAAAATATAGTTATATCGATCTTTTTTCAGCATTATTATATAATATATATTTTTTTTCATTATTTTAAATATCGATATTTCCAGTCGAAATATTTGGATCCGATTTAAAATATTCAATATCGAAATCATATCAAAAACGATATTTTGTCAAATTCTGATCTGGCACACAGTCCGTAGAAGTCAAATATTTAATATTTGTCATCCCCTTCTTTCTTTCTTTTGGACAACGGGTTCTAAGCAGAAAATATTCATATATCGATATTTTCACTTCGATATGTCTTCACTTTCTGCATCCCTAACTTATTTTGGTAGACAGATATTACTTCAGCATTACCAACAAGACTAATGTAAAATGTGTTTGGCCGCTGATAAACTTTCGCAAAATAATTTTAATGATAAAAAATACGCTAACATGTGTTAATGACAAAACGTTATTTAGTTGTAAAAGAGTATGTTTAAAAATGTATGAATCACCGTCTATAATTGCCTCCAAACCAAACTTCTTGTAAAGGCTTTATAAATGTTCCTTAATGTTCTTTATAAATGTTACTTTATTATTTTTTTATTTATAACCCGGGTTTTAAAGTTATTTTGAAAAATGTTACATAACCACAAAACCTATGTAAGCTCTAGGTCCAATGTTTAACATTAATGTTTTCAGCTTAATTGAAGTAGACTATTTTGTATTAAATACCGTATGTGACATTCTATTTTATCGTCATCAACCCATTATTGCAGGGGCAAGAAGGGACTGACTCATAGGCTATAGGAAGTCGACACTTTTAGTGCTTTTTTTCGAACCTTAAATGGCCTTTGAGGATGGAGTAGAAAAGAATGTACTTAATTGCACACAAGTAAATACAGGAAACAAAGTGTACATGTAGGCAGCCTAATTGCTAAGGTCGCAATTTCTGCAAGGCAAATGGTCATGGTTTTCAGTAAAATAAAAGACAAAAATAAATAACGGCATAAAATTATTTCACTCATATGAATGGGAATGTGGAGAAAGTAATTAAGGCCCTTTCCTAGCCAACAATTATTTATTTCAATCGGCCTGATTCGGCAGGCTACAGGCTTTCCGAGGCGACGGGAAAGAGAGCTATGTGGAAACAAAAACAGAACAATCAGAACACAGTTAAAAAAAATAGTAACAAGTAATTAATTAAAACTATTAACCTATTACATCACAGCAATAAGCTGTAAATATTTAATAATAATATGATATTATAGCCATATATCCAAAACATTCTGCAATACATCCATCACAACATACAATCATAAACTGCTTAAGTAAATTGTGTACTTTTAATTAAAATCATATTACATGTTCAATATGTGGATAATGTAGTGGGCTGCAATATTATTAGTACCTCAATGCAGCACATTTTCTGTTTATATACAATATTGTAACTATTTGTTAACCCTTATAAAATAAAATAAAAATACACAATGCTATGGTGCCATTTGTTACTTTTGTTGTAAGAGGATACAGCTTAACAAATATTAAAACCTGTTTGAGTTCATACCAAGACCAAAGTTACACAAATATGGGGGCGAATATCATAAGTATCTACATTATATTTTTTTCTCACCTGAGGCAGTCACTATAGGGGATCATCCCTGAATTATCTAGTTAATAAAAAAATATTTAAAAGGTCATAGGACATCAATCACCTAAAAATGCCCTTTTTGATATTTTATTGTACAAATAAACCCTTTGTGCTTGCAAAATAGATGTTTTCACATAAAAAACCGCAACAGAAACTCATGTCCCAATCCACGGAGTGTTGAAACATTTTTTTCACCCATTGTTTACTTGTGATTAATCCAAAACTTTCATAACAACTGATCCTTTCCAGAGAGAACTGAAAAAATAGTGTTTAATAATAAGTACTTATGTAATCAAATTTTTTATAGTGTAAATCTAACAAACAATATATATTATCATAAAATTCCAAGTTTCATTTGTATATTTAGTAAATAATTATGTCTTTAACACTTAAGTATTTTAATAATTATGCCTTTTTACAGAAGGAAAAAAGTTGTTTATCAGGAAAAAAAATGTTCGTACATTTTTCAAAAAACAACCACGAAGGGATACAAATTTGTAAAGAGATCACTATAGTAAGGAATTTAAGTTTTTAAAAAAAATATCTTTGAACACAATATTTGTATTTGTATTTAAAAAAAAAACATTGCCCTCACTTTAGGATAACATTATCCTGTGTTGTAAGGACGTTCTACAAACATAAATTGCACGAGGACAAACACCCAGAAGCGAAACAACTATATGTGGGTCGCACAAATAGTTGTTCCATGTGGGCATCGAACCCACGACCCCCGGGGCCGTAGCCAATACCTTGGCAACTGCGCCACGGAGTCATTAATTATTTAATTACTTTCTAGCAATAGAAAAAATTATACAATAAATTCGGAAATTATAACGTTTACGACCGATCACCGATTCCCCCTGAGCGCAACTCCGCATGAGTTTTTATTGGCATATATATATATATATATATAGTTAGTTACATAGCTTCGTAACTTTCATAACGGCTTGTAGATAAAAGGCGCTTACGCCAGGTTGCTATTCCTATCAAAACGAGGAGTTTTGCTTCCGAGCCGTTGCATTACCTACGGTGAGTTACTAACGTTCCTTTAATCTACAAGTCGTTACGAAAGTTACGAAGCTGCGTAACTAACGGCCGTTTATTGAATATAGGAACCGGGCAAAAGTCATAAGTAGAACGTTTAACATACTTAGTTCAACTTCTGAGTCATAGGTACAACATTTAACATAACTCAGTTCCACTACTGAGTCATAGGTTCCTTTAACATAATTAAGTGGGCGCCCACCAGTTACCGCAGCATTCCGTCCAGAGTAGGAATGGGCAAAAAATATCGATATTTTTCCAAATAAATGTCGATATATATCGTCGATATTTTTATTCCTGATATATCGATATTCGATATATCTTTTCGACTATCGAATTCGTATCAATTTCGATATATTTTTTATCTCAACTCTGGTTTGGTGTTTAGTGTTACTACATGTGTGCACGATAACTTTTTTATTAATAAAGATTATATGGCCTGGTAACAAGACCTTTAAGCCAATATCATGAAAATACTAATTAAATTCTCACTATTAACCATAAGTGTGAGACTGAAGTTAAGACCCTGAAGTTAACAAACAATTAATAATTTTCGGATCTTTCTTTCAACAAATCAAAAATGTTACAAACAAAAAATAAAAAAAAACTGCACACGTAGAAATTTAAAAACTCTAAGCACAATTTTTTATACATTTTCTTTTACAATTTATCGTTGGAAAAAGTTTCAAATATTATTAGACGTCGGCTAACTTCAGTATCATGACAAGTTGATCAGCTAGTTAAATTCTTCAACTATTTAGCTTGATACTTATGTCGGTTTGTTGTGCGTTCGAGAGATCTTTTTTATATTTATGCCAAAGTTCATTCCGTTTGTTGATACCTGTGACTATTTTCTTGTTTATCCAATCTTGTAATGGTGGATTTATTTTATATTTTGTAATCTGGTTTTTAGTTATTTCCTTTTAATGAAGTTTTCAAATTCTGTGTAGTTATTATGAGAATTTGTATGCAGGTGAATGTTTGCCTGGACACTTTTATAAAGGCCTTCATAACTTAAGTACTGGTATTGAACCCTTGGTCTACACGGTAATTTATGCTTCCCTATTTCGATATAGATTTGTTTGTGATCTGACATAGATGAGTCAATAATATTCATAGAGGTTTGGCTATCCACAATGTCGGTACGAACATGATCAATAATAGTACCAGAATTAGGAGTTTCGCTGTATATCAAGGCTATATTATTCATAATGATGTAAACAGAATCATGAATCGAATTTTTATAGTCAATTGTAGTGCGATTCGTATTTAGTAAGTTAATGTTAAAGTCTCCAAAAACGAGTGTCCTTTTTTTTATACCTCTCCAGCTGTGTCGAATATGTTTCAATGAAATTTTTTACATTGGTATGCCGTTGTCGATAAATCAACCCTATATTTAGGGCAATTCTTTTTATATGGGCGCATAAGTAGGTTTTATTATTTATGTATTGCTCCTCTAATATTTCATGTTCAAAGTTGTTATGCAGGTATATCGAAATTCCTCCTCCTGATCCACTAGATCTTAAGTTATATATATGAGTTTAGTTTGGTATTTGATATAATTCAGCTTCGGTTTTTGTTTCTAGCCAAGTTCCAGAAGAATAACGTGTGTGGTATGTGGTAGTCGTTTGAGAATACATTTTAACTCATCTTTACCTGATTTTTGAATACTTCGTACATTTGCATAGAAAAATTTTAAGGTATTTTTATGAAGTTTCAATTCATCGTATTTTTTTACTAATAACTATACTATGGCGTGTAATATATATATATTTGATTGTGAGTGTATTAGTTTTTTGTAGACTAATTTATTATTTTGGGTTTTCCATTTACGTACTTTATAGTAAGATTAGTCTCTCGCGAAGATTTTGCATGTGTTGTACTTGCATACGAGTTCGATCGGGCACTATGCGTAATTGCGTATTGGTGCATTTAGATTTATTTCGCATAATATTTATTATTGTTCCTTTAGATCCAAAGAAAATTTTTAAAGGTCGATGTTTCGCCGGGTCCGCCTTGCCTAGCTTAATTATTTTCAACGGCGACGGGCATTCTAGGTAAAACTGTCTAAAAATGTTCATTACTTCGAATGCGTCGTTCAGTCTACTTTTAATATTGATATCATTTTTTTCGGGTACACCAAGAACAATAATATTACGCTCGCGCTGTTTGCGGTCTTGGAGTTCTACTATAAGGTCTTCATACACAGGAGTAAGCGATTTTGACCCATCCTGCGTCCTATGAGCGATTTTTGTTTATGACAAGTCGTCTTCTAATGCTTTAATTTTTTTTTTCAAAAGTTATATTTTGCGACTTCATATTTTCTATCTCATTTTTTAAAATAGTATGATATTACTTACCGAAATGGACTTAGTTTTTCGAAACTTCACGTAAATTCATAATTATTACAACAACAACACTGACACTATTAGAAAAGAGAAACGAAACTGTTATAGATTTCATAACATTCCGCTAAGGATTACTGGCAGAGGCTCTTGTATATGCAGTTTTTCTTAAAAATAGGTCGCCTACGAAGGCTCTCAAGGATAAAACACCCGAAGAAGCTTGGACGGGAAGAAAGGTGAACCTAGGCTTCGTGTAAGTTTTTGGGTGAAAGGCCTACACGCACGTTCCTGACCAAAAGAGGCGCAAGCTAGATCCGAAGAGTAAGGAACTTATACTTTTAGGATACTGCGAAAATTCCAAAGCATACAAACTGTTGGATCCTGTTTCTGGAAATCTTCACAAGGCAAGAGATGTAGTATTTTTTGAGAATACTCTAGCTTCACGGAAACAACCATCAAGTGAGATTTTGACTGTTGGACAAAATTCTGCTTCTCATCAAAGGCCGAGTCCGGAGTTCCCTGTGGTACCACTAACAAGTACTCAATCAACGGAAGAGATGGTCCGTGGAGAAGAGACAGAGGATGGTTGTAGAAATGAAATAGTGAGACACCTCTCAGGGAACGGAGGAGCTGTTATAATGCCCGAGTCAGAGGATATTGGAGCTAATATAGAACAGGTGCTGTTTCTTCGGTTACGGAGGAGACTGAAGACTCTTCACAAGAATCGAACTTGGCAGCTAGTAAAGAGACAGCCAAATAAAAACGTGATTGATAGCAAGTGGGTTCTTAAAGTTAAGACTAAAGCTAGAAACAAGCAGCGATATAAGGCGAGGCTTACTTTGAGACATATTCACCTGTGATTAGGCATAGTTCATTGCGTCTTCTGTTGTCAATGGCTGCCGAGAATAAATTGAAAATTGATCAAATGGATGTGAAGACCGCTTTTCTTAATGGGTACATTGAGGAGACAGTGTACACGAAGCAACCTAAAGAATTACGTGTGCTTACTCAGCACTGAAACAGTTGAAGTTCATTCAGCTAGACAACGAACCATGTGTTTATATGAGGAGAAGTCAACACAGGCTAATAATCTTAGCGGTGTACGTTGATGATCTATTGATTTTTGGAACAATAAAGCAGAAATGCCGCAAGTCAAGAAGGAGTTAAGAGAGACCTTCGAGATGCGTGATCTTAGTAAAGTGGATTTGTTTCTGGGAAAGCATCTAAAGTAAACTGAATACATTAGATCAGAAAGGCTATATCGAGAAAATATTACCAGGTTTAACATGCAGGACTGCAAACCTGTTTCTACACCTCTAATTGCTGGTTATAGACACACATTGATGTTAGAGTTCACTTTATTAGAGAGGCACTTCGCAACAAAGTGATCAGTCTGAAATATCTGGGGACAGAGTCGATGGTAGCTGACATTTTCACAAAGGCCCTACCAAGAGGAAAGTTTGAGTTTTGTTTGAGACGCGCTCGTTGCACGCTCCTGCGCGGCAGACTGCAAGCGGTGGGCGGAGCTTGCAGGTCCCTTGCAGGATGCAAGGCGCGTCATGCTCGGTGCTGCCAGAAACTGTACAGGCCTGCAACACCATTCACGATCCTGCATAAAGCGGCGGACTGCCAGGCAGGATAGTGAATGGGCCCCTTTATAGTGTTTATAAGTAAATGGCGCGAACAATATAAGTCATTCGCAACCCTCATATAAAACTATTTAAATTAAAGAATCGATAAAGTTTAGATTCTAAAGTATTTAATTTTTACCATAAAAATGTAACATTTCATAAAATTAATAAAAACAAATAACACGACAGACCAAATTTCAAACTTTTACTTAGACTTTAACTTCTTAGTCGGTGCTGGATTCAGCTGGACTGTTTTGAAGTACAGACCATAAAAAACTCCAGCAGCTACGATGAGTATTGTCGACAATACAGTAACATACTCTGCACGATTCCTGAAAAATTAAATGCGATAATAAGGCACTATTTTCTTTCTAATAGACTTGTTTTTATATCAATCCAGCAAAATGAATGTGTATTGAATTGATAATATTCTAATTTAGTCCGATAAACGAAAAAACACCGTCGTGTCGAGATTGATTCAAGGCGCGATTTGTGTTGCACTTTATTGGTGTAGGTTAAATCGATAATACGCTTTAAATATCTTTAATAAGTATTTATACGGTATTTGCTAATTGGATAACACATAGACAACGAAAGAAGAAATGAAACTCCGCATAATAATAATAATAATGGGTTAATCCCAGTCAGCCTCTCTGAACATCTGAGGCGACTGGGACTCCGGGACGGAACGCTCCAAGCTCAAATGCAGAAGGCGGTGCTCCTCGATACCGCCCGCATCGTCCGCCGGTTTCTCTCCCTCTCACCCTAACCCTCGGCCGTTTGGTCTCCCCTGCCGAGGGCTTCCGTCTGGTTGGGTCCTATTTATTTATGTATTATATATAATATTTATATCTATATGTTTATTTTTATTCATAATATTTATTTTATATATGCAATATATATTTATATGTTTATTTTTTATCGAAGACAAAGAAATATCCCCATAATAATAATAATCATTTATTCCTCACCAAATCAACAAAAGTGGCTATAAACTAAGATAAATTATAAGATACGAACAAAAATACATGAAACAGAAATCAGAAATACAAGAAATAGATTATGGTGGATTGACACTTGAACTAGGACGAATCCTGTGTCTCAAGTAATCAACCCTCCACCCCGTAACAGAATCTTTTAAAAGATTAGAAAGAAAACATAGAAAACGATCAGGGGAAAAATTGGATTTAAGAGCAAAATACAGAAATAATAATTATAATAGTCATATGTGTACTTATGGTATAATTCTTTAGCGTAAAGACATTAAACGAAAGTGTTTATTTAAATAAAGTACAATTATTGGTAAATTTCAAAAAGATGTCTTTGGTTGCAAGGAATAAATTGATTACCAAGCATTATGTCTCATCGTAAAAATTTAACTTTCATAATTTTTCCAAAGACGCCAAAAGAAGTATAACTTCAAAACAAGATACGGTAACACAAATTTTTCACTGTCCCTAATTTTTCAATTAATTCCGTATTGGATGGGAGTTGGATGGTTAACTTCCGAATGGAAAACGATTTATGTAATGAAAAGTGGAGTACTCACTCGAAAGGCGTCCCACAAACGATGTACCAATTGGCACCATTTTGTGGCGCCTGGCCACCAACACAACTAAAATCGAAATATCCCTCATCGTAGTCCGTAGGACAGAAGTATTTACGTTTGTACAAAGTCTGAAAATATAAATTGTTAGATGTAGCATTTTCCTTCTTACAGAAAAACAAAATTTACTAAAGAAAAAAAAATGTGCGTACACATTTTGTATAGAGGTAAAAAGTTATAGTACTTCTTTATCGTAATAAAAGAAAAATAATTAAAAATTTCATCCCCTGTTCACTATGTAAAAAAATCATTAAACACAACTGATAACGATATAGTTAAGTACCTAACTTTAAATTATAGGTAAATGTCAAAGCCGTAATGTTGGTCGAAGTTGGTTTGCAACTTCATCATATCCCTTTTTGGCTGTCGGTGAGCGCGCGTATCGTAAAAATGTTAAGTATTCTCATTTTTTTTTCAAATCGCGCTAGAAAAGCTACAGCTTCAACAACATTTATTCCTGCTCTCTCAAGAAGAGTTATTTCAGAATACTCATTTTTTTTTCTTTTTCTTTTAGTGTATAGAGCTATTTTTTAATTTTCATATAAAAAGTAAAGTAACAGCCAATACATGTCCCACTGCTCGGCAAAGGCCTCCTCTATACAGGGGGTATCAGGGCATAGTTCACCACGCGGCCCCACTGCGGATTGGCGGACTTCACATATTTTCGAAATATATATTTTTTTGTTATTATTTCGAAAATATGCAGGTTTCCTCACGATGTTTTCCTTCACCGCGTAGCACGTGATAAGTCACCACTTAAAGTTAAAAACTTCATTGGTGCCGGCACCGGGGATCGAACTCGGGTTGCTCGAGTATATTGAATTAAAGGCGAGCGCCCAGACACTGAGCTATCACGGCTCTGTGTAATAAATTTTCATATAATGTAAAGTTACAATTTTTTTTTAACATTTCACTTATTTTACCAACAACAAGATCATAAATTAAATGTAACAGTGAATACAATTTCCTTACAATATTTTTCACTGACCTGCCCAAATGGTGTGACTAGACTAGACACTTCGTCACAAGGCCCGACGGGCTCATGTAGACCTTGGGACCACTCCTTTTCCGGATGGAAAAATACCACGAAGATCCAGTAAATTGCGTAATGCAAGGCAAGCTGCATCATCAATACATAGTCGACTGTAGATAACCTACAATATTAAAATGAAAACTAAATTGTATGCTTCTCAAAATGCCGTCTATACCAATCTCCATGTACTCGTAGGTAGGTGTTACATTAGTATTCCTGCACAAACGTAAATACATTCGCAAAGAAAAAACAATAAATGGGCTATCCGCCTATAGCGTTCCTCAATGATATATAATAAATGGGCTATCTAACAGTTCAACATTTTTTCAAATAGGACCAGTAGTCGCTGGGATTAGCGAACTAACAAACTGTTCAGTTTTATATTTTATAATATTAGTATAATTATCCTTTTATTTTTGTCCGTCCCATCACTACAAAAATACTTTCTAGTGCGGTCCAGTTCGACATAGGCGGGCCGATATCTGGTTCCTGGCTCATTTCCTGTTTCGCAGATCTAGGGGCGTATGACGCATGGCGCATTTCGCAGACCTTAAGGAAGAAGGTCCTTCCAACACTACAAAAAAATTGTTTACATCATGTTTTCGCAAAGTTTATAGCATTTTAAGTGACCCAGTGCTGTTGGGTCGATAAAGATCCGCCACGCATTGGCAGAAATATCGTTGGGGGCACATTTAGACCCGCCGCCGCACCAGATGACGGTTTATTATTTTACGTGCCGCAGCCAAGGTGTTATTACATAATTATGATAGATGATATAATTCTGAGGTCAACGTAGATTGGAAGTGTCAAAATGTTCATTTTTAGTGTTCCATACCCAAAGGGTAAAACGGGACCTAATTACTGAGACTCCACTATCTGTCTGTCCGTCTGTCACTAGGCTGTATCTCATTAACCGTGATAGTTAGACAGTTGACAGTTGAAATTTTGAAACAAATGATTATCTGTAGTCGCAAATAGAAGTTTGCTATTTTTTTAAATATGGATTTTTTTAATGTTTTATATTTTTTATGATTATTGCCAAGTAGCGTCAACGACATATAGCTTTATATAGCATTTCATCGCACAAATCATCGATGTCGTTCTTTAAGTTGATATAACATTTTTATTTATAAACCGATTTAAATAAAACTAACACTAAATGTTAAGTGAAGCTTACTATATTATTACAGTTGCATACAAATCAGATAACAGATTGATAAAGGCCCCCAAGTTTTTCTCAAATGTCTTCCATTTGCAGACATCGATCAGTTATATTTTTATTATATACTGGCTGACCCGGCAAACGTTGTTTTGCCATATAAATTATTTGTAGGGTAGAAAAAATGTTTGGGGTGGACCACCCTTAACATTTAGGGGGATGATAAATATACGAAAAGAAATAATTTATTATGAAAAGAATTTCATTATGAAAAGAAAGCATACTTCAATTAGTATATAAATAATAATTTAAATAAACCAAAAATGCTTTGGCGCAACTTAAAATCATCTGTTTTGCCTCCTAAACAATATTCTCATTTACCTGCTCACCTGACAGATCCCAACATAATTAACAAACATTTTTTGATATAACCGGGAACCTCCTCTGTTTCGCCCTCAGTTTTATTGTTTTTCAATAGCAACCGTTTTATAGGAGATATAAAATTTTCCCTTCATTATGTTGAACAAGACTTTATTTCGAAAATTATACATAATTAAAGCAGAGGGCATAGATGGGATCTCTCTCGGAATGCTACTTAGAACCTTGCCACAGTCACTAGGCGCTATCACATCTATCGTTAATTGTTCAATAGTAACTTGTACCTTTCCAGATGACTGGAAGACGGCCATAATTAGACCACTGCCTAAAAACTCAAACCCACAGGAACCTAAGGACCTACGACCTATTAGCATATTACCCTGTTTGTCAAAAATTGTTGAGAAAGCTGTTGCGATGCAACTTAGGGAATATCTTGAAAGTAACAAAATACTTTCTGAATTTCAGTCTGGATTTAGAAAAAACCATAGCAAAACCACAGCTCTTCTAGATGTTACAGACAATATTATTAATGCACAGGATGCGGGTATGTGTACCTTACTAGTACTTCTAGATTTCTCAAGGGCCTTTGATTGCATGAATACTCAATTACTACTAGCTAAGATGTCATATTATGGTTTTGATCCCGATACGGTCAGTTGGTTTCATAGCTACCTTACTGGTCGTGGTCAATATGTAGAAATCACTCAAGTTGACGATCGACCGCTTCGTTCAACGTATAGCCCCTTAACAAGAGGATCTCCGCAGGGAACGATCTGATCTCCTCTATTATTTATACTCTACACAACAGATATCGTAAACTGTAAAAAATCTTGCAAATATCACTTATACGCGGACGATTTACAAATATTATATATCTCTTTTAAATCTATCGAATGGCGCTCGGCAGTGCAGTCGCTTAACGAGGACCTTGGTAGAATATTAGAATGGTCAACAAATAATTGTCTAATTCTTAATCCTACTAAAACAAAATATATAGTATTCGGATCGAAATTTCATATACATAATGTTCCCCTTGCTTGAGGTGAAGTTAGGTGCTGAAGTTTTAGAACCTGTCTTTGAGGCTCGTAACCTCGGCTTAGAGTTGAACTCAAATTTGCGATACGAGAACCATATATCAAAGGTAGTTCGTAACTGATTTTACAGATTAAAAGTCCTGTATAAGGTTCGACAATATTTAAGTGAAGAACTTCGAGTACGCCTAGTCGATTCTCTCGTTCTATCTAAATTAAATTATTCCGACACAGTTTACGGTCCATGCTTGTATGTAAGAACAGAAAAGCTGATTCAACAGGTACAAAATGCTTGCGGTCGTTTTTGATTTAGAATTCCACCCCGTAGTCACTTAACACCTTTTTTGAATCAACACAACATTTTAACCTTTGGTTTGTCGGAACGTAGATCTGCGCGCCAAATTGTGCTTCCGTTGACTGTCGGAACGTAGATCTGCGCCAGATCGTTTATGATTAATAGTGAGCTATTTGCTGACTAGATAGAGTTAATTTTCCCGTGAAACTCGATCGAGAAATTAGCGAAGGAATGAATGAACCGTACTTTGATAGCTAAAAGAATTATTACTGGTAAAAACCTATTCATTCTTTCACGACTATTTGGAATATCTCCATGTTTTCATTTAAATATTTGAATTAATGTTTTTTGTGAAACAAATATCGAAAACCGTAAGTATTTTTTCTTTTCTTAATATTTAGTACTTATATAAAACAATGATAACGTATCGAAAACTGCAATATTACTAAGAATTTAACGAGATACGAAGAACATAAAATGTATGTATCCGTTCGTCATCTCTCTTTCATTTTCGACTACTAATATTTCGTAGTTTGAATTACACATTCTAATTATCTTACACATAATTTTGATTCTATATAGATATTATAAATAAAATGTAAATTTGGAAAAAACTTTCCATCTAACAGAAATTTCATTTTCAAATTGTAACGTATAAAAATTTGGAAATATAGGATGTTCATAAAAGTCATTTTTTTTGTTCTCGGGTTGAACATTACATTTTTTTAATTGATTTGAAATTACTCCATCGCTATAAAATGTAAAGATAAGGTAGAGAACATTTTATCCACTTAATGTTAATTTCCTATTTTAATGAAAACGAATAAAAATATATTATTGGAAGATACAAGCGTACACTGCAACAGTCTATAAAAGGAACAGCGCTAGCCATTTTCGGGGCCAATCCGTAAGTCATAGGTGCCGTCACCTACAGACCCTTACCGCTAAGTACGTTCCGTCGCAAATGGCGCAGACCACGACACATCCTCGATTTTCCTGATGATGAGACGACTATTGCCATCGACAGGATAAAACAATAACGCAAACACACCAGATCACACCGCACTCGCCGGCGAGTAGAAGCGTCGTTGGAGTTTCTTCCGCCACTTTTCCCAGCGCCAAGCGCCAACGCTTTCCGGAATGGTAGTCATGTTAGACCTAGAAATTCTTCCAGTCAGATAATAACTACCGATTGAGCCGAGGTCTGGCCTTCTACGGCACCCTCGATTCGGAAAGCTAAACGGGTATTGAGTGACAGCCCAAGCTGAGATCCCCTCTCGAGGGTCCTTGAGCCTAGACACTCCATGGAGCGTCCACCAAAGCGCCGTTCCTTTTATAGATCGTTGCAGTGTGAAATTTAATTTTTTTAATTTTTTTTTATGGGAAAATGCAGCAAATTAGCAGGAGGCTGACCTGATGGTAAGTGGTCACCACCGACCATGGACATCTGCAACACCCGAGGGCTTACAAATGCGTTGCCGGCCTTTTAGGAAAGAGTACGCTCTCTTCTTGAAAGTTCCCACGTCGTAACGGTTCGGAAAGACCGCCGGCGGCAGCTGGTTCCACAGAGTGGTTGTGCGAGGCAAGAAATGCCTTGAAAATCGCGCTGTTGTGGAACGCTGGACATCGAGGTGGTGTGGATGAAATTTTTGGTTTTGGCGCGATGTCCGATGGTGAAATTCAGCCGCCAGGATTAATCCAAACAATTCCTCGGAACACTCCCCGTGATAGATGCGGTAGAAGATGCAGAGTGATCCAACATCTCTACGCACAGCCAAAGGATCAAGCCGATCGGAAAAACCTTGATCGTCAAAAACCCTAGCTGCCCTACGTTGGATGCGGTCAAATGGAAGAAGTTGGTAACAGGGGGCTCCAGCCCAGAGGTGAGAGCAGTACTCCATGTGGGGCCGAATTTGCGCCGCGCACCTTCAGAACTATGTTATTCCAGCATTTGGTTGCTGCATATCGAAAACTGCCTCTAAACATAGCGGATCTATGTCGCGGTATTATTAGGTGACGACTGCGATTACCGCTGATGTTCCCTCTACTCCATTCTAATTTGCTGCTGAGATAACTAGGTGTCTGCGATCTCAAAATATCAAAAAGTAGACATGGTAAATGGTGTTGTCTGCGGTGTCTCCTGTTTAAACCTTGGTCTGTCGGGTACCCGACAGACCAAGGTTTAAACAGATCCGCTATGTTTAGAGGCAGTTTTCGATATGCAGCAACCCAATGCTGGAATAACATAGTTCTGAAGGTGCTGTTCAATATCACCACCAGAAGATGCTGATAACAAAGGACAACATAAAAGAAACGTGCCAAATTTTATTCTCATTTAAAATCGTCACCTTCTTTATTAAAAAAAATTGTTCCTCGGAGAAATATAAAATATTTAAAAACATACCAATGTTATTTTAATAAAAAATAGTGAACTGATGACTTTATTTGTATGTTTTAATTTTTAATCTTTTCGGAATAAAGAAAATTAAAAAGTAATGTTTATTTTCATTGTAAATAAATTTCCCGTTTTGAGTTAGAAAAAAAGTGGTCAGTTTATGTATACCTTCATAATATGAACACGGTACTTGTAGTTATACAAATGAACCTAAAGTAAAATAACAAGACAAGGTCGTAGACTTTAATAACTTCAAAAGGACGCACGTTACGCAATTTACGCAAGCATTAAATAATAATAATTTGTTTAAACTTCTGCAATGCTAAAGAATTCTTACACTTGTGTCAATAGACACTAATGACAGTACCTACTACATAAACCCATAAAAATGAGAGATGAGATTACGATTATTGAATAGATCGTAATGGTTCGTGCATTTGGTATAATCATGACTATTAACATAACCTAGTTCACTACTTTTGATTATATACCTGTCTGCCATTGGTATTGGAGTGCCGCGTAAACTGATATTTTTGGCTAGTATGGAAGTCCCGTCTCTTAAACGTAGTGATTACATTCTATTTGCTGTCTGCACGCAACGGCGCAAAAATGTCAAATTAAGAAAATACGATTTTTTAAATCGTTATTTCGTAGGATAGGTCTGGTTAGCCGGTGTTTTCAGTTTATTACTAGAAAGTTTTGGGGGATTATACAGCAGATTGAGAAAGAAATTTTGATGTATAATCTACTGTATTTTTTTCATTTCATTTTTTGTTTTTACTAAAATAAAACTACTAATGTATAAAATAATTACTTTAGCGCCCTATTTTGTTTAACGTTCAGCTTATCAAATAATGGGGAAAACTTAAATTTATAATTTGGAGTGGACATGCCTAAGCAACGCACACCTTTACAGTTTGTTTACAATAAGCACACGAGCGGCATTCTCATATCACGCAATCGGAGACAGTTTTAGCAAGTCGTTTGTTAAGCATTTCTCCATCTAGACAAGTATATCTATAATCAAAGATCAATACATTCTATTTAGTGTGGCTCCATCCATCAACGCTCCATTTACACGATCTTCTTAGAACCATTGTAAAAACTTTAATGATGCTTTTAAAAACAATTTTTTACTGTATTCACCATAACGGAATAAGTATGGCGCATACAATAAAAAGGTAAGGAAAACAAAAAACAACGCACAAGAAGTCCTAAGAAGTAATAGTAATAATTTTCATGTCATATTACTGCAATAACGGTTATTACTTAATAGGATATATGCCATGTTATGTTTTCTACTAGTTCACATATTATTAACATTTGATTGATATTTAAATTTTTTTATAGTGCTAATCTCTGCACTTAGACTAAACATTAAAATTTGTAGAAAAAGTACGAAAAGATTTTCGCCGCCGTGGGAATCGAACCCTTGGATGCGCCAAGCATTGCTTCAAATGCAATGTAGATAAAAAACACGTTGATATTCAAAATCCTTACTGTTCATTTTAAATTTAGATATATTTAGTTAAAGAACAAAATTTAAATAAACATTATGATACCAACTTGTCCCTTGTTTTCTCTCTTTCACTCAAAATGCCGTTGACGACGATGGCCGCAAAGATGGCTAGAAGTAGGAAGAAAGTGACTTCGGAGTGAATCTTGTAGACGTCATGAAGGGGATGGTAGATTGGCACAAACATAAGGACTCCACCCGGCATGCCCAGGACAGATGAGATGACGAGAGATTTCCATTCGACTGATTTACTGAAGAGAAATAATAAATATCGCTAAAATCTTTTTACCAAAGAAAGTTCAAACAAAACGCTCGTTTCTATTCTGTTTACACTTGTAAGGTTTATCACAAAATAGAGAAACTTACGCGGCAGATGTCCATTGTTCGGTTTTAGGCGCGAACCACCGCCTGCTGTCGTGGAAAAAGTAGAAGAAACTGGCGGCGAACGTAGCATGGAAGTAGTAAGAGTTCCATGGCACCCAGTAGTGGCGATCATAGATGTTGGGGTCAGTGTCATGCCAGGTCCAATGCACGAACTTGACAGCGACAATGTCGTATGGAATGTCCACGAGCACCGTCACCAAGCCCACAGCGAACGGCTCCGCGTAACGTGGCAATCGCAGCTTGGATACGGCATATGCAGCGTGGTAGATAAATGCCGGATCTAAAAATTTTATTTACTTCTTTAAATTAAGTTTTCGTTTATCCACGCCTTCGAGTTCGCCTGTTTCACTGACCGGGATCATGTGGACAGAGGTGGAAAATAAAAAAGTTGTAAAAGTCATGTGAGACCAGGGTATTAAGCTTTTCTTATAAGTATTTACAATCTCTCAAATGTAATAAACTTTCTGACATAAGGAAAAACAACTGATGTCCATCATACATATTTCACTGAACTTTTGAAGGTCCCAAATCAATCGAACTATCCGAAAAATTGAAAAATTTTGGCCAAGTGAGCTGGTGGTTCACCTGATGTTAAGTGATAACCACCACCCATGGACATTTGCAACAACCGTAGGGTTGTGTATGCGTTGCCACTTTATAAAAAAGTGGGCCCCGCCCCAGCTATCTCACTCACCAGACAAAACGCACATGTATAAAACTTCCACTTCAAATCGATCTTCTGTGAGTTCGTGGTACTTCCCCATCCATCGGATAGACTTGCCCATCCGTGCAACAGCGATCTGTTGCGTAGCCCTGCTACAGCTATATATAATATTGTACAAAAAACTTACACAAAAGAATTATATGAAGTGGTAGCCTGGCGCCTAGGAAAATTATGGGCGTTTGAGAATGCCAGAAGTTGTCGTATTCAGGCAGCACGAAGTGCCAAAAGTTGTCGGTGAATAATCCGTGGAGCACCGTGCCCAGCCAAAAGTATGGCCATCTTCCACCCTTCCTAAATGCTGAAAAAATGTATCTTAACATTAGTACGTGGCAACAGCACGCACGCATTCAGAAATCATATTGCTTTAATATTTACATTTAGTCTGAGTAGTAAAAATTAAAAGCCTCTTCTGTACAGAAGGACCCCACTGCGGATTGGCGGATTCACATATTTTCGAAATATTTTTTTTATTATTATTTAGAAAATATTCAGGTTTCCTCATGGTGTTTTTTCTTCACCGCTGAGCACGCAATAAAGCAGCACTTGAAATTAAAAATTCATTGTCGGCGGCATTAGGATAGATATAGTATATTGAAATTAAAGCGCGAGCGAGCGCCCGGACAATTACCTATCACAGCTCTGTATGAGAATCGTTTGAGTCTTACAGAAAATAAAATATTTCACGTTACTAAAGAGTAATGCCTTAAATGGCTTTACTCTTTAAAATAGAGATCGCATATTTACATGTTTGCAATATTGCAATACAATGTAAATTAAATGAAAATAACCTTATTATTTAATATAATTACCACCGCAATGACGTTAGATTGAGACTATTCACAATTTACATACCGTGAAATAACGTGACTACTCCAGCAAGTATATATACCGCTTGCGAAATTATATAAGTAGGTTGTGCTTCCCATAGTTGCCGTATGCTATGTGTCTGAACCAGCCATTCAAGCCACTGCAAAAGAAGTATAGGAACATAACAATTAACAAAGCTGTCCTGATTTTATACTCTTTGCCATCGTCATTTGACTAGTCAAAGAGTATAAAAATGAATTATGGATGTCAACTTTCGGTGATTCCTGACTTTTCAAATAACTCGCAGCTTTTACGGAGTCGGGACAGACCGATGTCCTAATGTCAATGATCCCGGGCTGCCGTTAGTTTTTTAAATTATTATTAATTTTTCTCCGATCTCCGCATTCCATTTAAAGTCCGTTGAAATAGTTTAATAACATGTGCCATTACCATAGATATAAAACATTATAATTTTGATTTAAACTTAAATTTGGTACAAGCTTACAGCAACTTAAGACGATGACGAAACAAGAAAAGTTTTGTTCTACCATAGCCGAAATTATTTGTCTCAAATATGAACTAGATAAACGCTATCGCTTATGTTTTTTTAAGATGAAAGATGAGAATCCATAAATTTAGAAGATACTTAGGAATATTATTGGATATTAAAATTTTACTCTACTAAGGCAAATAGAAGCTTTGAACATAAAATGTGGGCCTAGTTTATAATTCAGATACCATTTAAATAAAAGCAGATCAAGACACCTTCAATACTAGGTAAACTATTTGTTAATCATAACAAAAAATATGTTTTTACAACGGAGTAAAGCCTTATTTACTTTGGTCCAGAACAGTGGCGCATAGTAAGTAAAAAATTATAGTACAGTGGCCAGTACTGGCCGGCACTGGACAAGTGGCTGTTTACACTACTACATCAAGTCCGGTGGCATTTCACTGTCGAAATAGTCGAGCAACGTCAAAAAATACGTGCAACTTTGTTACCGGCCAAAGTACTATATTTCACTGTTTACTACACTACGGCAAGTGACGAGTCAAGTGCCCCGGGAGGCGTTAAGCCTGCGCACGATAGGTCTACTTGAACCAAAAAAATTAAAGCGATTTAATTTGGGTCTAAACATTTGACCAGTGTAAATTGGGCTTAAGTGAGTTATTACAATAGAGTATGACATTCGAGGGCTAATAAGATTAATTTCGCGAGCTAATTATTTATAAATGTCTTAATAAATTTTTCGATAAATAGCTAGTGTACGACTACAGTGTGTTAAATATACGATGAGACGCGGGACAATGACATTAATAAACTAAAGTGACATTACGAAACAAAGTTTCACATTGTGCTCCGTACATTTTATGTTTAAGAAATACGGAACTTCATATACGAGATCCATATTTGTATGTCAATGTGAATGTCCCACGTATCAATCTATATTTAACAGACTGTAACTTCTTGAATAGATTTTTATATAACCGATACGCATCCCAGAATACGCAGGGAGCGACCCCACAATGCCTTAATATTTTTCGACAATCCTTTAAAATTAAATTTAAAAAATATACATCGTTAAAATTAATGAACAAATGAAGCTCTCGCGGAGCTCTAGCATTAATCATTTTTGCTACAACAGTAAATTATATTTTCTACTAATCAATAAATCATAACATAATGCCATTAAGGGATCTCGATACTATCGTATCACGATTGCGAATTATAATATAAGTACCAACAATGTCTTTGATAACATAGAAATATAAAATTAATAACTAATTCTATCTTATAACGACGTTTCGACAGTAAATATAGTAATAGTAGAATTTATAAATAGAACTGAACAGAAAATGGGTAAAATTTTAGCAAGTCATTACTTTGATACAGCAAAAAATAATAGAAATTAAATGATAGAGAAATAAATATAAAAATCACTAATAAAATAATCAACAAGCAGAATTCGAGGGAAAAATTTTAACACGCTTAATGTGGTCTAGTGATCCCTACCCTCAGAGTAAACATAAAAAAGCTGGTGCCAGAACCTCGCATCAGAGGTCCTGAGTGGAGCGACTCTCAAAGAGGTCACATAGCGAGAGTTCTGGCAAAGCGCATGGAAGAGTCAAATTTAAAAATGAAATACACATTTTTAATATTTCTTATATTCCATTAATTCGTTACTGATTTTTCTCTATTTTTAATTTTTTTTGTTTGCTATATCGAAGTAGCCTTCTAAAATTTGAGCAGATTAAAATATGGAATATTGATTGAAGAATCGCTTTAAACTATTGTATAAAAGGTGAGTTAGGTACTTACAATCACCCCAGTATCAGATGTCTTCATTGGCGTTTTTTATAAAGCGTTATCTAAAAAAACGATAAAGTAGTACGACGTGTGCTGCGTTGAGTTGGCTGTACTGATATAATATAACCCAAATCATGCTATGGAGTATGGCAACTTAGATTAGAACTACTTCAAAAAAATTTCAAAACATCGCCATCTCGGAGACAAATGAAATACTAAAATACACAGTGCTGCCACTATAAAATATAGCAATAAATCCTATGGAGAAATTACATATTAAATTAATATATAATAATGTTTTTTTGAGATACAAAGAACAAAAAAGACATATTTAAATAAATGTTTATTTTCGTCTACTTAATTTTTTATTTTAAGGCAAATTTGACCACCTTTTTTGTAAGTGGTGAACCCCCCCTGTAATGAAATTGAACACCTAAAAATATTCCTGAAGAAATTTACCTTCTAAAAACTTCCATTGTATATTTTTTTCTTCCTAAATTTAGGAAGACAACCCTGGGATACCAACTAAAGTTGGTATCCCTGATTTAGTAGCGCATTTGAATGAGTGTTCAGGAATTGCTTTTTTTCCTTTCTCTTTACCATTATACAATTTTATAGAAAATACTATAGAAAAAATTGAGTTTAAATAAATATAAGGTAGTGTTCAATATTGTAAATAATTAATTAGAAATAAGTTTTTAATCTTCCTTTTTCCAATTTATCATCCTTTGTTAGCTATAATTTTTATCTTTTATTTTGTCTTTTTTAAATTCCCTCTTTTTTTTGTAAATTGTAACTCTTTGTTTTGTATTATGTATACGACTGAAGGACTGGTATCCATGGTCATGCATAAATTAAAAAAAAGCGCATTTGAATGGAAGAGAGCTGAGAGTATTTATAAATCACTACGTTTAAGGCACTGTATTATGCAGTAAAAATAGGTTTTTCAAAAGATTTTTTAACAAAATCTATACACTTTATCGCAGCAAAAATAATATTAATATTGATCTTACATTATAATGGAGCATTGTTTCTCGATATATTTTCTCGATAGAAAAAAATCATGAAACTACCTCTAAAAGAGAAATTCAAATCCAAAAATGAACGTAATACATCAACAAATCTTAATGAAAATAATATCAGTGGTGTAGAATATTTTAATATCAATCAATCAATCAAAAATCTTTATTCCAATAGACGCTTGCGCGTTCTTATGAATCGTCAAATTTTACATATAGGTTCGTAAGGTACCACCGGTGCGGAACGCAGTTTCTGTTGAAAAGAGACCGACAAGAAACTCAACAGTTGCTCTTTTTCAAAAATATCAGTTTACAATAAAAAAATACCGGTATAATAGTCTTATTCTACCCTACGTGAGTATGAACAGTATTAACTTCACTCATTGGCGTCGTCGAGACATTCCGCAATAGTGTAATACTTATGCTTTAACCCAAGGGCGGATCCAGGGGGGGGGGTCATGGGAGTCATAACAATTGATCCGATTTCCGTGATTCTTCTTTAGTTTGATGCAGAATAGTTGCCATTTGGTCCCATAAAAATTTACCATAGTTTTGCCAAGTAGTTTTAATTTTATGAACATTTTTACAATATTTTGATGACTCCGTGGCGCAGTTGGCCAAGATTTTGGCTTCGGCGTCGGGGGTCGTGGGTTCGATTCCCACACGGGACAACTATGTGTGCTGTCCACAGATAGTTGCGCATGTGGATGTTTGTCCTCGTGCAATTTATGTTTGTAAAACGTCCTTACAATACAGGATAATGCTATCCTAAAGTGAGGGCAATGTTTATCAAAAAAAAATTGTAATGTTAAATCATCAAATCAAGCATCTTGCAAATTAAATTTGATCTACTTCCCGGTTACTGGTTGAGCTACAATTTTGTATACATGTGTAAATCGCGAAAATCCAACATTTTTGTGACATGGTGCTGATCTGATGATGGAGCTGGAGGAAGGCCAGAGGAACTTCGAAATTAAACGACAGAGCCTCATCGCGTTTGGGTACATTTGAATCGTATTAATGAGTAGTTTGTCTTTCATTGGTAACCACGATCTGATGATAGAGCTCCATCTTCACCCGTCCATGGACATATGCATAGGGTTCCGGCTAGGTAGCCAGAGCCGGAGCAAAATGCATCTCTTGAGTGAGGTACTCACCAGACAAATCGCAGAAGTACTTTACGCCAATCTATGAGGCTATTCTGTGACGTTCCTATGACTACTCTGTAATGAAACGACTCAACCCCATCGAGATTCGGTTCGTTTGATTCGTCTTGGCGAGTTCTTAATTTTTAGATGGTTACCAGGGTCTGATCTGATGATGGAGCTGGAAGATAGTCATATGAATTTAGTAAAGAAACGACGCAACCCTATTGCGTCTCGGCTCGTTTGATTCGTCATGACGAGTTCTTTGGTGCTACATGGTAACCAGGGTCTGATGACAGAGCTGGCATGTGGCCATAGGAACTCAGTAATTAAATAACATAACTGCGTCGAATTTGATTCGTCTTAGTGGGTGGACCGTTTTTGATGGGTGGTGAGATGTGGTGGTTTGGTGGACGTGAGTATGCGAGACCATCTTTGGGAAATAAAGATTGTTCTTTCCGTTTGTTATGAATGTGGATTCTGTCTTTGATTAGATGGATTAGAAGCGCTGAATATTATGAATGAATAATATTTTTTTGTTATTTATGAACATTTTTAATGTGGACAATGTTATTTTATTTTGTGTACGGCTATTTTAGGAGTTTTCATTTGGGTTCATTATATATTATTATCAACCTGTGTCCCTTTAGTCTCGTCTCAGGCTACTTGTCATTGAAGTAGAGCCAGCGTGCGGAGTAGAGGAATAAAGAATATTATAACCAACATGACTATATAAAATCTGTTAACGAATAAATAAATAAAAGAAATTCCAAAAATAAGCAAACCTACCAATAGCTACTTTAAAAAATACTATACAGGGTGGCTTTCCTAAGTGTATACATTTTGTTTATTAAATTTTAAACATAAATAAAATTATATAAAAATGATAAATATTTAAAATCACTTGTAATTAATTAATTACATTCATTTGAACTTATCTCAAAAAGTGCGTGATTTATGGGCAACTCATTTATTTTACACGCGATCATCTATAACTAACACGCACACAATTTCGTTTCAAAAGTAGACGCATTTATGAATGACTACCGCATTGTCAAGAAGTTTGTTGTTGTTTTTAGGAAATAGAATGCCAATTTTTTTTTAAAAAAAAGTTTGTTTTTATTTCTATAAACGATTATATTACCGAGCCTGAACCTCCGGTGTGAATTTGGGCACCTTTATAAAAGCCAACCTGTATAATAAAATAATATGATAATAAAAATCAACGCTATGTATGAGCAGAACAGAATTTTGAACATACCCACATAAAAAAAATATAAACATCCGAATTGTCTCCTCCTTCTTTTTGAAGTCGGTTAAAAATAAGTACCTACTTTTTACTTCTATCTGTGATTATAAAATAAATTATAACTTCTTATCACTTGACCACGAATATGTGACCCGTCCCCCCCCCCCTGGCACCAAAGCTGGATCCGCCCTTGCTTTAACTATAAGTTGACTTTTGATTTTACGTTTAAATTGATCAAGCGGCAGACTTAGTATCGACTGTGGGATTTTATTATACATGCGCACACCGTGCCCCATGAACGACCTATTTACTTTTTGTAGGCGAAACAATGGCGTAGTAAGTTTGTTTTGTCATTATTTCTTTTTTTTTATGTGAAAGTTGTCAAACGAGCAGACGGTTCGCCTGATGTTAAGTGAATACCGCCGCCCATGGACATCTGCTACGGGTTACAGATGCGTTGACAACCTTTTAAAAAAATTATTTCTAGTGTTTAATTTATGTCTGTCACTATTCTTTAGGTAAAAATTAAGGTTATGACGAATATACAAAACATTACAATAAATGTATTGAGTAGCAACAAGGATGAAGGATTGTTGTCTTAATTTGTCGAAAAAAATGTATATTCACATATTTCGTATTTTTAATTATTTGTATGTATTAACAACTAAAGCGTAATTGCAATATCTTATCTCGTGATTGATAAGGTTTATCAGTCCTATCCATACAGTGGACCATCATTTTCTAGGGATTGGGTTCAAATCCCTGCATTTCTTTGTTTTTTGGTGATTACATCGAAATATTATTGTATTTTTTGAACGTACAACGCAACAGTTGGAGAACAATCTATCAGATAATAAACCAACTTTTCATTATTTAAAATTATTAGCAAGTCTTATATTGTATATTGTTTTTAATTTTTTTTAAATATTTATTTTATTAATTTTTTTATATATTTGAAATATTTGATTTTTCAACCCAAAACGAAAATTAATCTTTTATGAACACGAAAAATAATTGTTTTATATTTTTTTTATTAATTTGTTTATTTTCCACATTTTATAAATTAAAACAAAATAATTAATTAATTAACAAATTAAAATTGAAAAAAGATATATCACACAATAAGGCTAGAACGACCGTTATTCTTCACCTACCATGACGCTCGAACCAATAGGTTACACGATGTATGTGGTCGATGACAAAATTTTGATTCTAGTTATAATAAAATTGTTGTCGTGTATCGATATAAGGAATTTTATCGATAATTTTTTAATATAATTTCATTGAGAAATTTATACAACTTAGTTAGTCTTTATCATTTAAAAAATTAATTAAAGATATATAGTTTAAGACAATATGTAATAAAAAAGTCGTTTTCGTAATTTCTGCCGTTGAGACCATGGAATTGCTTAAAATGTTTGGTGAGCTATTACTTTTAATCAAAATAAATAATTATTCGTCTATTTATTGTTTTATTGTAAGAAATTTCATTTGCCTTTATTAATTTATTTGACCTTAAGATGTATTTTTAATCAATTCTAATCCGTTTCTAAAATTGTTGATTGCTTTCTCATGCTTTATATTTGTTTGTTTATTACTATTCCTATAATAATATAAAAGTAAAAT